GGTATATAAGACAGACAGTTGCTGTGGGTGTCATCAAAGCAGTGGACAAGAAGGCTGCAGGCATTAGCAAGGTCACCCAGTCTGCCCAGAAAGCTCAGAAGGCTAAATGAATATTATCTCTAATACCTGCCACTCCAGTCTTAATCGGTGGCGGAAGAATGGTCTCAGAACTGTTTGTTTAAATTGGCCATTTAAGTTTAATAGTAAAAAGCTGGTTAATGATAACAATGAATCGTAAAATCTTCAGAAGGAAAGGAGAATGTTTTGTGGACTGTTTCTTTTTGTGTGGCAGTTTTAAGTTATCAGTTTTCAAAATCAGTACGTTTTATGAAAACAACTGGACCAAAAATCTGTCATGGAATTTTGACATCCATTAAAACAAAGTTTAATAGCAGAGTATGAATGTCTTAACTTAATGACTAAGAGAATGACATGAAGGTTATGTTAACCAGTTTGATGAGAGTATTTCGAAATGTATATGAAAACAGCACACTGTACCCCATGATTGCATTAATGTACATAGTTATGCTATAAGAAATTTTAAAAAGAACAAAGTTTAATGAGAAAATAAAATAAAATTAAATAAATAGTGGTTGCAGCCCACCAATTGATTTCATGGCTTACAAACTGTGGCTTGAAAATACTATTCTGGAGAAAGCAAATCACAGACAAGTTTAAGTGTTAAATCAGAAGAAAAAATACAAAATAATCTTGGGAACTGACAGCAATCTGAAATCCATTATAGGTTGAAAATTTTAAAAATAGAGATTTAAGTTACCATTCTTCCTAAATACATGAGGTATTTATTCCTTCCAAACAATGTCTTTTATACTTCATGAAACTGTAATGCCGGAGATTAACAAAGTCTTTGAGGAAGCAATACGATGATTGGAAAATATGCAAAGCTGAAGGTGATGCTAATTATACTGTGCCTTAACTATGTATGTGACTTGTCTTTGTCCATTATGTGCTACTATAACAATACCTGAGACGGAGGGCGGCACCCATAGCTCAGTCACCAGGGCGCCGACCACATGCACTGAGGGTGGAGGGTTCAAACCGGCCCAGGCCAGCTAAAACAACAATGGCAACGGCAACAACAAAAAATAGCCGGGCATTGTGGTGGGCGCCTGTAGACCTAGCTACTTGGGAGGTAAGAGTCAAGAAAATCGCTTAAGCCCAACAGTGTGAGGTTGCTGTGAGCTGTGATACAGCATTCTACCTAGGGCAACAGCTTGAGACTCTGTCTCAAAAAAATAAATAAATAAAAAATACGTGAGACTGAGTGATTTATAAACAATACAAATTTATTGACTTAGAGTTCCAGAGGCTGGGAAGTCCCTCATCAAAGTGCTAGCATCTGGAAAGAGCATTTTTGCTTAATCATAACATTGTGGAAAGTATCATATGGCTAAAGGGCTAAGAGAGAGGATGAGGGGACAACCTATTCCCTTCATAAGGATCCCACTCCCAAGAAATGGACATTAATCCATTCCTGAGGGCAGAGCCCTCGTGACCTAAACATCTCCTAAAGGTCTCACCTACTAATACTATCAGAAGATCAATTAGCATGAGTTGGTGGGAACAAACTTTCAAACCAATGGCAGGCATCCTCAAACTACAGCCCGCAGGCCATATGAGGCCCACCGAGGACATTTATCCAGCCTCCTGGGTGTTTTTGCCGCCGCTGCCTGTCCTGCTTAGCAGCAGACTCGTCCCGGGGGCCACAGTCCAGCCCTCCAACTGTCTGAGGGACAGTGAACTGGACCCCTGTTTTTGAGCCTCAATTTCTTCTTCAATAAAATGAGGAAATTGTACGTTATATGCCCTTGAAGAAAAATCTCCTTTATCCTCCTTATATACTCCTTATCTTCTCATTTTTCCAGTTTATTATGAATATTCCTTTCCTCTGAATTCTTGAGCCTTTAATATATAGTAATAAAAAAAATTTTGCCACTATATGCTTTTTTTTTCTTTTTGAGACGTAGTCTCATTTTGTTGCCCTGAGTAGAGTGCCCTGGCATCATAGCTCACAGCAACCTCAAGCTCTTGGGCTAAAGTGATCCTCTTGCCTCAGCCTCCTAAGTAACCAGAACTATAAGGGCCCACCACAACCTGGCTATTTTTAGAGACGGGATCTCACTCTTGCTCAGGCTGGTCTCAAACTCCTGAGCTCATGCAATCCACCAGCCTCAGCCTCCTAGAGTGCTAAGATTACAGGCATGAGCCACTGCACCCGGCCTTGCCACTATATATAATGGCAAGGCTTTATATATATATATGTATATATATATATACAGTGCAGTGGCTTTATTTTATATATATAGATTAAATATATATATTTAAATATATATAGATTTATTTATTTTATATATAGATATATTTATTCTATATATATAGATTAAATATATATATTACATATATATTTAAAGAATAAATCTATTCTTTCCATAAGGAACCCACTCCCACTCCCACACACCACCTCACCCCCAAGTAACCAAAGTTCTATCAGGTTCCATGAATATCATGTGGTATTTATCTTTCTGTTCCTTGCTTATTCTCACTTTGTCACTGTTGGTCGAGTGCCATGGTCTCATAACTCACAGCAACCTCAAACTCTTGGGCTCAAGCAATTCTCTTGCCTCAGCCTACCAAGTAGCTGGGACTATAGGCACCTGCTACAATGCCTGCCTTTTTTGTTTTTTAGATATGAGGTCTCAATTTTTGCTCAGGCTAAGTTTTACTCAAACTCCTGAGCTCAAGAAATCCACCTGCCTTGGCCTCCCAGAGTGCAGGGATTACAGGTGTAAGCTACCACACCTGGCCTACTACTAGTAATAGTATAGTAGTACTGTACTAATACTACTATATTCTTAACAAAGATTACTGTTCACTACTCTTTATCAGTTCACATTGGAGTATCGATCCCATCATATTGCTCATTTTTATTTCATTAAAGGTATTTATTTATTTTAATTACCAAGGCTTGGTGCCTGTAGCTCAGTGACTTGGGCACTGGCCACCTACACCAGGGTTGGCGGGTTAACCCAGCCCGAGGCCTGTCAAACAATAATGACAACTACAGAACAGCAACAAAGAAATAGCCGAGCATTGTGGCAGATACCTGTAGTCCCAGCCACTTGGGAGGCTGAGGAAGAGAATTGCTTGAACCCAAGAGTTCGAGGTTGCTCTGAGCTGTGACACCATGGCACTCTACCAAGGGTGACATAGTGAGACTCTGTCTCAAAAAATAAATAAATAGAATAGAATACTTTAATTACCAAAAAAATTAAATATATTATTGTATGCAACATGACATTTTGAAATTTATACATTGTGCAATGGCTATATCAAATAAATAACATGTGCCTAACTTCACATATTATTTTATAGTGTGAACACTTAAAGTTTACTCTCACCAATTTTCAAGAGTACAATGCACTGTTACTATCTCACCATGTTATTCAATGGATCTCTTGAACTTACTCCTTGTAACAGAAATTTTGTCTACCTTTGACCAACATCTTCCCAATCTCCCACTCCCACACACCACCTCACCCCCAAGTAACCAGGGTTCTATCTGCTTCCATGAATATCATGTGGTATTTGTCTTTCTGTTTCTTGCTTATTCAGCTTAATATAAGGTCCTCCAGGTTCATCTGTGTTGTCACAAATGACAAGATTTCCTTCTTTTTAAAGGCTGAATAGCATTCCTTTGTGTATGCATACCACATTTTCTTTATCCATTCATCTGTTGATGGACACTTATATTGATTCTATTGTGAATAATGCTGCAGTGAACGTGAGAACCCAGCTATCTTTTGGAGGAACTGATTTCATTTCCTTTGAGTATAAAGTCAAATAATGGGATTGCCAGATCATACGGTAATTTGTTTTATTTCTTGAGAAACCTCCATACTATTTCCCATGACTGTACTAAGTTATATTCCCAACAACAGTGAGCAAGAGTTCCCTTTTCTGCACATCCTTGCTAACACTTGCATTCTTTCATCTTTTTGATAATAGCCATTACAACATGTGTGAGGTGATTCATTTGCATTTCCTTGATTGTTAGTGATGTTGAACATTTTTTCACGTACCTGCTTGGCCATTTCTGACTTATTTTGAGAAATGTTTGCTCAGGTCTCTTTTTGTCCATTTTTAAATAAGGTTATTTATTTTCTTGCTACTGAGTTGTTAGAGTTCCTAATAATACATTTGGGATATTAGCTCCTTCCTGATGTATAGTATGCAAACATTTTCTCCCATCCTGTGAGTAGTCGCTTCACTCTCTTAGTTCTTTCATTTGCTGTGCAAAAGCCTTTAATTTTGACATAATCCCGTTTGTCTATTTTCACTTTTATATTCTGTGTCTGTGCTTTCATGTTCTTTATTTTATCTCCCAGGAAGCATATAACACCTAAGTGCCATCTATGCTTTAGAGGTACTCACTGGAGAACAAGCAATTTTTTTTTTTTTTTTACTTGCAGTTTCTGGCTGGGGCTGGGTTTGATAATTTTTCTATTTTTATAGAGAGAGGGGTCTCACCATGTTGCCCAGGTTGGTCTTGAAGGCATTTTTTTTTTTTTTTTTTCTTGCAGTTTCTGGCTGGGGCTGGGTTTGAACCCACCACCTTCGGCATATGTGGCCAGCGCCCTACCCTTTCGAGCCACAGGCGCAGCCCCAGAACAGCAAATTTTAAACAAGAAGGTTATATTAGATTATTTCAGAAATGCTTTTCAGCAAGAAAATCTATGACCTTATAAAACAATAAGCTGAAAATAATTGGGTTAAGACTTAAATTATGCCCATTTAAGTATTCTTTATATTGTCAACCATTACTTATTGAATTTCTGCACTAGGTAGCTAGTCTCTAGTCTCTAAGAGACTAAAGCCTTAAATTAAGCAAGTCTAAAAGTTTTAATCATAGCATACTTATATTTTTAAATACTTTTTCCTAACCTCAAAGGTAATAAATACACATTCAGTGATTTTTTTTTTTAAATATGAAACACTTCACAAATTTGCCCATTATCTTTGCACTGGGGCCAGGCTAATCTTCTCTTTATCTTTCCAATTTTAGTATATGGAGCTGCTGAAGCAAACATTCAGTGATTTAAAAAGCAAAAAAAAAACCCAAAACAAACAAACTATAATTTGGAAAGCCTTAAAATTGATCAATAACTCTTGACTTCATGGATAATCATTGTTAGTACTTTTTTTAAAGATAGGGTCTTGCAATGTTGCCCAGACTGGTCTTGAACTCCTAGCCTCAAGAGATCCTCCTGCCTTGGATTCTTAAAATGCTGGGTTCATAGGCATGGACCATTGTGCTTGATCTGTTTTTTAAACTGACTTTATTTTTTAGAACAGTTTTAGGTTCACAGCAAGACTGAACAGAAAATACAGGGTTCCCATATAACCCCTGTCCCTGCACACACACAGCCTTCCTCACGAGCTACATCCCCCACCACAATGGCACATTTGTTACAATTAATGAATCCACATTGACACATCAGCTCATAATTTAAATTATATTTTACATCTTCCTATTATTCACCCCTTCTTTCTTCCCTTCCTCCACTGTAACCCCCAGCAACGACTGATATTTTTACTGTCTGAATGATTTTTCCTTCTCCAAAATGTCATACATAGAGTTAGAAGCATACAGTATGTGGTCTTTTCAGATCAGCTTCTTTCATTTAGTAATATGCATTTAAGATTTCTCCATGTCTTTTCAGGGCTTGATAGCTCATTTCTTTTTAGCACTTAATAACATCGTGTTGCCTAGATGCACCACAGTTTACTTATCAACTCACCTGCCGAAGGACATTTTAGTTGCTTCCAAGTTTGGCAGTTTTGGATAATGCTTCTGTAAAATTCATGTGCAGGCTTTTATGAAGACACAAGTTTTCAACGCTTTTGGGTAAATACCAAGGAGTGAAAAATGTTGGATCATATGGTGAGAGTATGCTTAATTTTGTAAGAAACTACCAACTGTCTTCCAAAGTGGAATTTTATACCAGCAGTAAATCAGAGTTTCTGTTGCTCCACATCCTCGTCAGCATTTGGTATAGTCAATGTTTTAATTTTTATCGTCCTACTATGTGTATAATGGTATCTCATTGTAGTCTTTATTATAAACATTTTGATGTAACAATATTTTCTTTTAAAAGTCTATATTGCTGGGCGGTGCCTGTGGCTTAGCGGGTAGGGTGCTGGCCCCAGGTACCTAGGGTGGTGGGTTCAAGCCTGGCCCTGGCTGAACTGCAACAACAACAACATAAAATAGCTGGGTGTTGTGGCCAGCGCCTGTAGTCCCAGCTGCTCTGGAGGCTGAGGCAAGAGAATCCCCTAAGCCCAGGAGTTGGAGGTTGCTGTGAGCTGTGTGACGCCACGGCACTCTACCAAGGGCGATAAACTCTGCGGGGGTGGGGAAGTCTATATTGCCTGGCGGTGCCTATGGCTCCGTGAATAGGACGCTGGCCCTATAGACCCAGGGTGGGGGTTCAAACCTGCTAAACTGCAAACAAACAAACAAACAAACAAAAAATAACCAGGTGTTGTGGCTGGCGCCTATAGTCCCAGCTTCTCGGGAGGCTGAGCAAAAATCGCCTAAATCTGCAGCCACCGCCACGCCGCCTCTAGCTCGCCGAGCTCCAGCCGAAGAAAGGGGATAAGTAAGGAGGTCTTTATACCATGGCTCGTACAAAGCAGACTGCCCGCAAATCCACCGGGCACCCAGGAAGCACCTGGCTACAAAAGCCGCTCGCAAGAGTGCGCCCTCTACTGGAGGGGTGAAGAAACCTCATCGCTACAGGCCTGGTACTGTGGCACTCCGTGACATAAGACGTTATCAGAAGTCCACTGAACTTCTGATTCGCAAACTTGCTTTCCAGCGTCTGGTGCGAGAAATTGTTCAGGACTTTAAGACAGATCTGCACTTCCAGAGCGCAGCTATTGGTGCTTTGCAGGAGGCAAGTGAGGCCTATCTGGTTGGCCTTTTTTAAGACACTAACCTGTGTGCTATCCATGCCAAATGTGTAACAATTATGCCAAAAGATATCCAGCTAGCACGCCGCATACGTGGAGAACGTGCTTAAGAGTCAGCTATGATGGAAAAAACATTTCATTATCAAAAAAAAAAAAAAAATTCTCTTCTTCCTGTTATTGGTAGTTCTGAACGTTAGACTTTTTTCCCCCCGTGGGGTCAAATGATACTTAAGAATATGATTGTGACTGGAAAAATAGAGGACAGAAATCAGGTATTGGCAGCTTTTCCATTTTCATTTGTGTGTGAATTTTTAATATAAAATGAGGGGATGTGCAGCATTAAAGCGAGTCAAAATGTTTCAGTGAACAAGTTTCAGCAGTTCAACTTTCTAACAATTATAAATAAACCTGTTAAATTTTTCTGAACAATGCCAGCATTTGGATTTTTTAAAAACAAGTAAATGTCTTATTGATGGCAATGAAAAAAAAAGAGAATCGCCTAAGCCCAAGAGCTGGAGGTTGCTATGAGCTGTGTGATGCCATGGCACTCTACCAAGGGCAACAAAGTGAGACTCTGTCTCTAAAATAAATAAATAAAATTTTAAAAGTCTATATTGCCCAACAAAAAACTATGTCCATTTACTTTTCCTGCACCAAGCAGGAAAAAGAAAAGAACTAATTTGTTTTTATTACATGGTTTATGATGAAGAAGAGATTCTGTAAAGAACTGGTGATATCTAGAAAAATCAAATTGTCATTAAGAATAGAGTTGTCATACGGTGCCTGTGGCTCAAGGAGTAGGGCACCAGCCCCATATACCACAGGTGACAGGTTCAAACCCAGCCCCAGTCAAAAACTGCAAAATGAATAAATAAATAAATAAATGACAGTGCTATTCACAGTCTTTAAGAAAAAAAAAAAGAATAGAGTTGTCATCTTCACTTTACTGTGGTCACATAGGTAAAAGGATTTTGAGAAGAGTTATATACAGTGGTGAATAATATGCAGCTACAAGAAGAATTGTACTTTGGCTTCCTGCTACTCCTAAAACAATATAAAAAATCAAACCTAACAATCCAATCCTGGAAAAGTGACATTCTTGGGATAAGCTGCATACTCATAATAGGTAAGGAGATAAAAACATTAAACATATTTATTATGGAGTGTGATATGAGATGGTTTTTTGGAAAGTGCTTTTGAGATACCACATCTATAATAGTAAGGAACTAATTTTGGATGTGATCATTATTCTCTAAATGTACACTTTGTGGTGGAATCAAAAATTAGTCTTTGTTATTAACATAATGAGGAACTTTTTAAGATCTTCACTGTTCTTTCATTCCACAAATATTGAGTCTAAGTCTTGCCAGACATTATGATAAGCACTAGGGATATAACAGTGAATCATGCAGATATATAGTCTGTATTAGCCAGAAAGAGTCAACAAACAAGGAATCAATAACAACAACAAAAACAAAATTGTGTTTGAGTGCTGGGAAGGAAACAAACAGAGCTCTGTTACAGAGAATAACAAGGCAGACCTATGCTAATGGTCATGGAAGACCTTTCGGAAGAAGTAACATTTAAACTGTGATTTGCAAAAGCAAATCTTAGCCATTAGAAGAATCAGAGGGAAAATGTTCTGGAGAGCAGAAAAACCAAGAATTAAACTTGTCCTAGGAAGTGGCAGAAGGTTAGTAGGATGGGACAGTACTCAATAAGAAGAGCTATGGGAGAGGAGGGTGAAGAGCAGGAAGGGGGACCCCTGGAGAGCCATGGTGGCCACACTGAGGAGGCAGAATGTTACCATAATGTGTGGAGAAGCCATAAATAGGTGTTTTCAATGAAAAGGTGATGCAATTTATAATGTAAATTTTAAGTAGGTAACTCTGGCTACTTGGTGGGAAATGTTTGTAAAGTAGCAAGGGTAGAATTTGGCAGGCTACTGAGGAGTCTGAGCAAGAATTGACACTGATACTCACATAGGGAGGTGGCAACGGAGGTAGGAGAAGTGAGTAGACTGGACTTACTTAAGGGAGGACATGGGGTATACAAAGGCATTCCTAAAATTTGGGAGCTAGTTGAAAATTAAAACATAGAAAAGTTTCTGGTATTAGATTGTTAGCAAATCTGATGAATTTCATACAAGATGAGACACTTCACAAAAGACTGAAGCTAACTTTCAAGATGTGTGGCTAATAGGAGCCATCTTGAACAGACCAATAAATAATAAATTAATACTAATTAAGGTTGACTGGATTTTTTAAAGAAATAAGTTTGAAAAATTATAAGCGTAACAGTACTGAGCATTCTACTTATTATTGCTTTTCACTCTTTTTTCAACAAAAACAGCTGAATGTTCCTGAATATAATTAAACAACTGTTGATTATTTATAACTAGTCAAATTTTTCCAAGTTCTATTGGATATTTTTACTTGTGTTTTGTTTTTGATTTTTATTTGTTCTGAGGCAGGACCTTGCTCTGTTGCCTGGGCTAGAGTGCAGTGGTACCACCACAGCTCACTGTAGCCTTAAGCTCCTGCCCTGGGTTCAACTGATCTTTTTGCTTCTGAGTAGCTGAGACTACAAACACACACTAGTTTTTTTTTTTTTTAGAGATGGGGTCTCACTATTGCCCAAGCTAGTCTCTTGGGTTCACATAATCCTCCCACCTCAGCCTCCTAAAGTATTAAGATTATAGGCATGAACTACCACACCCAGCCTCCAAGTTCTGTCTTCTAATTTAATTATATTGCTCTAGTACCACAGTGGTTAATCTTGGTGGTTTGGGTTTTTTTGGGGTTTTTTTCCCCATTTTGGTCTTTTTCCCATTTGGTTTTGTTTTTATTAATTTCTTTTAAAATAAAAAATGGGGACATGGAAGAAGGAGAGGTGACTTCCTTGAAGAAAGAGAGAAGAAGAAATTTACAGGAAAAGTCAGTCTTCCTCTGCCCAACACTATCCTCCAGGATTCCAATCTGCCTCCCCAGAGGCAGCCACTGTTACCAGTTCCTTCTCTTTCCAGAAATGGTTCTCTCATGTAAAAGCATACATTTTTTTCTTACAACAATATATCTTAAAGCTGAGTCCAGGCTTGGTGCCTGTGGTTCAAA